GCCGGGTGGCACACTGGGGCGCTGCGCGGCGGTCGGCGGGGCACGACGGCGCGGCCGGGCAGACTCGCGCAGGGCCCGGGGCGCGCGGCGGCGGCGGCCTGGGCTAGGCGTTCCGGGCTCGGGGGCGGTCGGGGCCCGGCGAGTGGCGAGCGTGTGACGGGAGCCTCCCGCCCCGCCCCCTGCGCTCCCGCAGCCGCGGCTCGGTGCGGGCCGCGGTGACCGCAGCACCGCGTCCTCCTCCTCCACGGCCGCTGGGCGCAGTCACGGAAGCATCTCCATCCCTTTGTCTGAAGGCGGTGACCGGCCGAGATCTCGGGGAGGGGCGCCGCGGCTCCTACGGGCCCGGCGCCCCGGAACCTGCGGCCGGGGCGTCACGGGCTGGGGGAGTGGGGGCGCAGCCCCAGCTTGCGAGATGCCCACGCCACCTGCAGCCCCGCCGAGCCCGGCGCAGGCAGAACCCAACTCAGACACCCGATTCCCGCAGCGGACGCGCGGGTGCAGAGCCTTCGGGACCCCTCCCGGCCTGGCCCCCGCCCTCCTGCGGCCCGCGCATGCGCCCCGTGGCACCGGTGCAGGTGCCGCGGGGGCTCTCCGCTCTAGGCCGCGTTCTCGTGGACCCGGGAGCAGGACCTGCAGACGCAGCAGGCTGGGCTCGGAGACCTGGGGTTCTAGTGGGGGAACCGGTGGTCGCAGGCCCAATGCTCAGCGCTCCCCGAACCCAGCCCTGAGCTGCTCTGCACCCTCCCCTATGTCACCCCTAAGGGCAATCCCAAGCAGAGTTCCCCACTCCCGCGGGTTGAGGATAGGCCTGGGACTTCAGGCCAAGGATCCTCAGCCTGCGTTGCGCTGTGGAGTGGGGGCCTCTAGCCGAGGTCCCCTTGGGGCCCGACCGTGGGTGGAACGTGGGAGTGGGAGAGAGAGGTTAATTGGCTCACTGGCCCTGGCCACCCGTGCAAGGACCCTGGTGTGGGGAGGACAACACCAAGCCTGCACGTTTCCAAAACCCGAGGACTTGTCTGGGCCCGGCTGTGACCTTTCCAGAACAGGCAAAGGAGTCACCGGAAATCTCTACCGTCTCACTCATCGACCCCTTTAGGGTTCCTGAGCACCTACCAAGGCCCCAGGCCAGCCACCGGGCCCCTCTGAGTGTCCTGAGGTTGGCCAGGTAGACTGCAGGAAGAGTGGGTCAGCCTGCCAGGGGTCAGCACTGTGGAGAGTGGGGGACTGCTACTCCTGGAAGCATCAGAGGACTGGAGGAAGTGAAGACGGGCACTGGGGGAACGCGCTTCTGGTGAGGGCCAAGAAAAGGGAGAGGCAAGGCCCTCTCCAGGAGCTGCTGGACAGGGCCCAGCTGAGGCTCCAGACTTGGGTATGAAGGGGCCCTGAGACCTTAGGTGACCTCAGAACAAAGTGGTCCAGTCTCCACTCTTGACCCCTGCACCCTTAGTCTGAGGCTACCTCTGTTCTGCTGTCCATGAGAGGTCCAAGGACAGAGATGAGGCCTGGTGCCCTTGGTGGGTCTCTAGTTTTGTCATCTGCAAAAGGTCCCTCCCTCCAGCTGGCCTGACTGCACCCCCAGCCCCTTCCCCAAGTCCCCTGTAACCATGTGACCCCGGAAGCCTTGTTGCAGCAACCCCCTGCCCCACCCCCATAGGGCACTGTAATGCGCCAGAACCAGCTAAGAGCAGGCGAGGGCTTGCGAAGGAGCAGTCCCTGTCCTGGCTGAGCCCCAGTTTCCTCCCCCAAGGCGGTGGGGGAAGCTGGTGCCTGTCCCCATTTCACAGATGAGAAAACAGAGGCAGAAACCCAGACTCGTTGGCTCTGGCAGGGCCCTGCCGCTGCCCACTCCCCTGCCCTGTGCTTCCATAGGACCCTCTCATCCAAGACTGCTGCCATGCCCACACCTGTGGGGAGTTCACCTGCCCAGATCCTCTGCAGCCTATTACGGCCTCAGAGCCAAGCAGATGGGCAGGGGCAAAGAGTCCCCACCCAGATCCCAGAGGCTGAAGCAAGGAGGGCACCCTGGCTGGGTCGCTTGGACAAAGGTGCGGCCCGCCCAGCATGCTTGCGGGTCTGTGGGGAGGTAGAGGAGTGAGGCAGGGAGGGGGTGTGAACCAAAGATGGAAAGTGGCCAGTGCCTTCGACCACGGGAGGCCTTGCAATGAATAAGGCTGGCACCGGCCCAAACAGAGGCGATCGGGAGGCTGGGGAAGGCCAGGGGTTTTTTAGAAAGTAGAATCTGAAGATCAGGAGACAGGAAGACCAGAGAGGGAAAAGAGGGCCAGTCCAGAGTCCCAGTGTGCTCTAACAAGGGTACCACAAACCAGGCAAAAGCAGGGAAGACAACAGCAAAACCAATCATTTCCCCAGCTAAAGGGCCTTGACTGCAGATTACCTGTGCCTGGGACCTTGCTTGCAAAATGCACCCTATCACCTTCTCACCCTGGGGCAGAAAGACCGCCTCCAGGGGAAGGGTGGGAGAGGGCCAGGCTCCTGAGAGTCACCCACCGGCCCATGCTGGGCCCTGGCCAGATCAGCCTCACCCTCCTGGGCTTTACAACCTGCAGAGACGAACACACTACTATCTCTTAGGGACAAACCTGACCAAGAAAGGCCAGCAGAGATAAGAGACTGAGGAGTGAACAGTCACAGAGGCCAAGGCGGTGACTTGGTGGAGAGAAAGCAGTCCAGCAGGTACCAAGGTCCTGAGGTGGACATGCCAGCAGGTGCAGGAAGTTTCCTTGCCACACATTTTTACAAGTCTGCGGGGAAACAGGCAGCTGGGAGGACAGGGGTCTTCCACACCAGGACAAGAGTGGAAGGACCCAGCGGAGCACGAGCAGATGCCCTGCATGCACAGGGACCACCTGACGCTGGACAGTGTGAGGAGGCCAGAAGGGCGTGTTATGGAGCAAGTAAGGCAAAAACAAAGTCCAGGAAAACAAAAGATGACTCACAAAAAGCCGCACGGCGTGGCCCTGCTGTGGGCCCTCTCTCCCTGCAGACGTCACAGGTGCGTGAGCCCAGGCAGGCGGGAGAGCTGTCGGAGACCCCAGGACAGACCACACCACTGGCCCTGACCACACGTCAAGTGGGCTCCCTCCACCTGTGCTCCTTTCAAGAGGCTAAGGTCAGGCCTTCGGCACCTTTGACTGAGCCTGTCTTTGGTCAAGGTCACCAGTGACCAGCGTTGCCAGATCCTGTGGTGTGGCCTTGGAGCTTCCCCTCAGCAGCAGGTAACACCCCAGCCCTCCCTCTGCCCAGAGCCCTTGCCCTCCGTCTGGGATGCACCTCAGGCCTCTTCCTCCGCTCCGGGAGTCATCTCATCTCCCAGCCTCTCCACGTCTCTCCTCTGTCCACACTCGGCCACCCAGATCTCGGCCAGCCTATCTACTCCAACCTTCCCTCTCTGGCCGCTCATGCACGTGTACCAGTCTGGTGGCCTCCAGAGCTCAAGGGTTGCCCTGGCCTCCTCCCTCCCCACTCCAAACCCCATTGGCTCCATTTTCAAATACATCTGAGACCCAACAGCTTCTGATCCTGCCTGTGGCCAGCTGCCCAGCCCCAGCCCCTCACAGGGCCATTCTGTCCTTGCAGAGATCACTCTCTACAGCAGCCAGAAGCACCCTGCTCAAACCTACCTCGTCTACTTGCTCAGAGCCCCGCAAGGCTCCAAGGTGGCTCCCTGCCCCTGCACCCCCCCCCTTCCTCCTAACCACTGACCACCTCCTGCTCCAGCTCCCTGCCACCGGAGCCCCCTGCTGGCAAGACAGGAACAGGCCCACAAGCCCCCTGGCCCTGTGCCCCAGCTGTTTGTCACACAGGGCATCTCCCCAGAGAGCACCCTGCAACACCCTCTTAGTCATTCCCGTCTCTTTTAGTGAGAGGTCAGTTTGTACCGGGGCTAATGGCTGCCCATAAAACTGGACACCCGGTTAAGTCTGAATTTTGAATGAACATGGGAAATACATACACCAGAAGTGATGTCCTCATTCCTGTATTTGAGTTGATAAACCTGGCAACCCAGACGGGACACGCTGCACTCCCAGCCTCCCTTACACTAATGGAGGCCCACCAATGGCAGCACAGCCTGGCCTCCACAGCCTGGCAGGCACCGCACGGCCCAGGAAGGGGTGAAGGCCAGCAGAGGCCCAAGGCCTGCCACGGCCTCAGTACCGTCTCTCCCTGGCCTGCTGTAGGGTTTTCATGGACATCCGTGTCTCCTCACCACCGTGTGAGCTCCTCCATGGGGCTGGTTACCTGAGGCCCTAGAGGCTGCAGGCCAGGTACCGCCAGGCCCTTCCAGCACAGGTCAGCGGTCTGGAGGCCAGGGCAGGAGTACTGAGGAGGATCCAGGCGTACATCCTCAGCAGAGGCAGTAAAAACACCCGGGCAGGCCCAGAGGTGGGGCTGGTGAACCACAATCTCCTGCGCATGTGCCACGCTCCCGAGTCAGCGGCACAGGCGCCCAGTGCTGTACCCAGGCAGCGGTAGCCAGGGAACTGGAGCCCCAGACGGGCCAGCTACCCCACCTGGGATGAATGGTGGCTACCTGGGCGTTCCCTACGATGCTCTGGAGTACCCAGCACTGCCCAATCCACCTCCCTCTCCCAGTAGCCCCAGGCTCTGGAGCCTGCCAGCTCAGCCTCAGGGAGCCCCCAACTCTAGCCACCCCACTCCCGTGCAGACAAGCCTTGGGGGGATCTGCCCTGGGGCATCTCCTCTGGGAACTCAGGGAGGTCAGGCCAGTTTCCAATCCTCTGGCCTCTAAAAAGGGCAGGCTGGCCAGGCAGGCAGGACCCAGACAGGTACCAGATGCTTGTGGGTGTGGGTCCGTGAGTATGGACAGATGTGCTGTCCACCTCTCAGCACTGGTGCTATCGGGACATGAACCAGAAGGGCCCCTCCCGCCTGGAACATCTGGGAAAACGAAGGGCCCAACCAGGGCTCCTGGGGGTGGCACAGGGCTTTGGTGGCCAGAGCAGGAGACAGGACACGAGTGTGGGGGCAGGCGTTTATTGAAAGGGATTAGCTCTGGCAGAGAGTCTTCAGCGCCCAGCTGGCCAGCAAGCACACAGGGCTCGGCGCTCGGCCTGCAGCAGGAGGGTCTCTGTCTGCAAAGCAAGGAGAAGCCATGTAAGTAGTCCCCACTGACCATCTCCCCTCACTGACTACAGTCCAGGGGTCCTCCGACTCCTGGTTTCTCCGCCCCCCGGTACTGCCCGACACCCTGGCTGCTCCTTTGCCTCAGCTCCACCCCAGTCCTCTGTTGCCTTCCACTGGGGGCTGCTGGGAGCCACCTCCTAGTCTTCTACTAGGAGCTACTCCCTATCTTCTTCAAAGCTGCCCACTCAGGGCTTCTTTGTCCTGCACCTCCCACTGTAGCCCCCAAAGGTGGGGACAGTTCCTTCCAAGAATCCAGCTCCGGGCTGGGGTGTGGGGCACGCTGGGCCTCCAGTGGGCCCTCTGCGCTTGTGCAGGAGAAGGCGCCGGGGCTTGTGGGTGGTGGGTCTCCCCTTCTCTCTACTTCCAGGAATTCTTCCTCCTTCCAATTAGTAGTTCCCTTGGTTGAGCCCCAGGACCTGAGGGATCCCTGTTCGTGCCCTAGAGGGCATCCCTGAGAGTCCAGTGCAGGCATCATCCCCAAACCACCCAGCCCGACCTGACCTCCCATCCCGCCCACTCCAGCACTCTCTTCCCCGACCTCAGCTTCCCCAGGCCGTCCCCCACCTGGGGATCCTGGATGAGGGCTGGCCTTCCTGGTGGGCCAGTCTGCCTCAGCACGCCACAGGACGAGGCCGAGACCCGCACCCAGCCCGGCCCCGCCCCCAAGCCCCGCGGCTCACCCGCGCGTCCAGGCTGCGCGCCGTCTTCCGCAGGTCCTGCAGGGCGCGCTGCATGAACTCGAACGCGTGGCAGTCCACGCACGGGCGGCCTGGGGGCCCGGGCCGGCGTCACCGCTGCAGGGTTCCCCCCCCAGCCGAGGTCCCACCCGAGCACGAGGGTCCCCTCCCCTCCCACGGGGCGGACCCGCTCCCGGGAACAAAGGCGGGGCGGGGCCTCCCGCGCGCCCCGGGGCTCCGCCGCCGCCCGGTGCGACCCTCCGCGGCCACCTACTCTGCGCGGGGACGACGCTCCCGGCGGCGGGCTCGGCACGGGCGCCCAGCAGCGCCAGGCTCAGCAGCAGCAGCAGCAGCGACAGCGGCGACAGCAGGGACCGGCACGCGGGCGGGGGGGCCATGGCCGAGGAGGAGCCCGGGCCGCCCTGCAGCGAGCGCAGGGTCAACGTCTTCCGCAGGTCCCCGCCCCGGCCGCGCCCCCGGCCCCGCCGCCCCGGCCCCGAGAGCCCGGCCCGCCGCCCCGCCCGCCCCTACCGCGGTTCGGGGACCCCGCGACTAGAAGCGGGCGACTGGGGAAGACGCTCCGTCCGGCGCGCGCGCGCATGCGTCCGACCCGACCCCGCCCGGGCCTCCGCCGTCGTCGTCATGGGAACCCCGGGACCGCGCGGCGCGGGCCCGGCTCACCCTGGCTGCGGGGCTGCCGGGCCGGGTCCCGAGGCCCCGGGTGAGAGCAGGTGGGCGCCGCGGCCCGCGGGGGCCCGACCCGGGGTCCCTGCGCGCGGGCGGGGCGGAGGCACACTCGCGGGTCCCCGGGCCTTCTGGCGGCGACCCCGCAGGAGCCGAGAGCCTGGCCACGCCTCCCCGCTGTGCCACCCGGGTGGTCGCTTGGCCTCTCGGTGCCGTCCCCCCTTGAACGCGCGGATTGCGGGACTCAACCTGGCGCTGCTAGCGGCCGGCGTGGCGCCGAGGAGTGCGACCTCGGTCGCCGGGCCCGGCGGACAGCAGAGCCCTTCCCCTGGAGGGTGCCTCGACCCCCACGGAGTCGCGACCCCTGCATCCCCTGCGGTCAGATGGCCGGCCAGACGCGGGTGTCCTCACCCTGCGCGAGGATGCGGGAGGCCTGGTGCCCCTGGACCTAGCGGTGCTTGGTGGGGACGCCGCACCCGGCTTTCCGGAAACGCAGGCAGGGCCCGCGCGGGGCGGGGGAACTCGGTTTCCCGGACGCCTTGGCGTCTGCCAGCAAGCGCGCACTTGTGAGTCCACGCAGGTGACAGGCCAGGGGTGTCCCGAGAGCCTCGTGGCAGAGGCCTTTCTCAACCGGTCGGCCGCACGGTGCCTTGGACTTGTGATCTACCCCTGTCACCGTGTCCCCAGCCAGGTCCTGGCCTCCCCCAGAAGCAAGGCTCGGGCTAGACCTCAGGCGGCGGTGCCTTGCCAGCAGCGTTGTCGCCTGGTCCAAGCAGGCTGGGTAGTGGGGAGGGGATCCCCAAAGCTGGCATCCTTCCTGGGCTTGATAGTGCACCCTTCCCACTTTTTCCGCCCTGAGGTCTGCACCTCGGGGCCTGTTTCCTCCCAGGATCCAGCCAACATGCCAGCTCCGCACACACGCTGGACACCGGCGGGAAGATGCACGTCTACCGCCCTGGGGCTGCAGGGTCCTGGGCACCACACACGCTCCTTGTCCCTGCTGGCCCCTGACCTCCAAGGCCCCAGCGGCCCTCCTGCGCCTTGCTGTGCAATTCCGCAAGCAGGCTGCGGTTTCCTGCCTACCAGGCCACACAAGCCTTCCCGCGCCCTTGCCCGCAGCGCCTCTCTACACTGTCCATGTTCTCCTTTCTCTCTGGAGCCCACTCTGGTCGCCTCTGTCCTCTCCCTGCCCTCACATACTGGCCTGCCTCTGGGCTATCCCTTTACCCCCACCTTTTCATGACTTTTCCCCAAAGCTGGACCCTGGGCCTCTTCTCCACCTAGCCCACCCTCTGTGACCTTATTAGGTTGGCTGTGAAGGTCATGCAGTGAGCAGCCAGGGCCTCTGTCCCCACCTCAGGTTCATGTCCACTGGTCTCTGGACACCTGCACTGGAGAACAGCTTAGTGGGTGTGCATCCACCACTGTTGCCCCTCAAGATCATGCAAAGTAGCCTGCCCACAGTATTCACCCCTCAAAGGGCAGCTGCATCCTTGGGATGCTCCACTAAAACTTGCTATGGTCCTTCAGATGTCCTACCAGCTCCACCATAGAGTCCACCAGGTCTCCTCCCCAGGCCCCTAGCTGCTGGTCCTCCTTGTTGTCTGCTTGTGACCAGCCGCTGGGGTCCAGTTTCCACAGTCAGAGGAACTTTTTAATTACGGTAAAATATATGTAACATAAAACTTACCATCTTAACTCTTCCTAAGTGTGGTTTGGTGGTGTTAAGTATGTGCAGTGTGGTGCAGCCATCCTCAATGTCTGTCTCCAGAACTTTCTCATTTTCCCAAACTGCAACTGTCCCCATTTAGGCAACGAGGCCCCCTCCTCCTCTGGGCCCTGGCACCCATCTAGTTCCTGTCTGTGGCCTGACACCTGAGGGCCTTGCATGAGTGTACCAGGTGGGTGTGCCTATGAGCCTTCTGTCATCTACGGGGCATCCAGTGGGGTTCCAGGTCCTTGGTGTCCTGAGCAAAGAATTAAGCAGGGCACGCAGGAGTAACAGGCAAAGATGAAAGTAGCACTCAGAAGGGCAGAGTGGGAGGGAGGGATAGATGCAGATCCTCAGGGTGAGGCAGCACTGCCCTGTGGGGACCCATCCAGGGAGTTGAACACAGTTTGGAAGAGGTTCAGTTCACACTCCAGATAGCAAAACATCTCCACTGTTAGCTGGAAAAAGTTGTTGATGTCACTTTCTCCAGGCTTGTCCAGATGTTGGTTGTTCATCTGAAGGTTTATGGGAACCAGGGGTTCTTGACATGGTACTCCATCTCATTCTCAGCAGTTTGAGGTAGATACTGCAGAGCTGTCCATACCCCTTGCTCTGGTGGCACCCACATCCTGCTCATGTTACTCAATTCATTTTATCTTAGAGAGTCCTTCGGGACACTAGGGTGTCCATCATGGAGAAGTGTTCCATTGTGGAACACATGGCCAAACTTCCAGCAGAGCATGGCGTTTCTGTAGAGGGGCAGCAGACTGATCACAGACCAGGTTTAAGCTCCTTTCTCATTGTGGGTGCCCAGGATGATATTTTGGCCTGTTTTCCCTTTACAGCCACTTCCTGAGTATTAATGGCCTTACTGATACTGACCGTCTGAGTCCCCTAGAAGCTCTTGTGCTCTGCCACCCCCAGCAGGACATGCTGACCCTGCTCCAGCTCAGCACCTTGGGCAGCAGGTTGGGCACCTGCTTCATGGAGCTGGCCATCTGATCCATGTTGCCATGTGGAGCTGAGTCAGGGGGCCTTGGCCACCCCAGCTCATTTTAGACATTATATAGAAACCAATACTTTATTGTCTGACCACCTAGGAAAATTTGTGAGTTAATAATTTTAATCTGTTTACTTAATTTAACTTCTTTTTTAAGCCACATGAATTAAAAGGTACTTGGAGCCAATACACTTGAAATTTAATTTATGAGTTCTCATTTATTTATATGTCGATTTTGATACCACAAACATAATATATGGACACAAGCAGGTATGTAGAAACAATACAATACACAGGTGTGCACTCATACATAAGTCTGTTTTATAACTCTTTGTTAAGTGGAGCTCCATAGATAGGAGGCAATGTTACAGATGTTTATTAAAGCCTCTGTTAGATTTAACCCATTAAAAATTAAAATAGAGGGCTGGGGATGTGGCTCAAGTGGTAACTCGCTTGCCTGGCATGTGTGGGGCGCTGGGTTTGATCCTCAGTGTTGAGAGCCACAGCCGATTTGGAATGGCCCCTGGCATTTTGCCAGAAGTAGTGGTTGAGAGGTGACACCAGCAAGCCATTAAGATGATGATTTTTGGGTTCTCTCGGAGTTTCTGTTGAGTTCCGGTTGAGCTCTCGTGGGGATTCCTGAAGATTCGCGTTGGTTGGTGGAGTTCCGGTGGAGGGAGTTCTGGTTGGGGAGTTCCGGTTGGTGTGTGGTCGCTGGAAGGACCACGTGGGTGGCATTCGGGGGAGTTCGGAAATAAAGTTTGTTCCTGCTTGAGTGGCTCGTGATTTGTGCCCAGCCAGACTGAGGCACCTCAGCACTACATAAAAATAAAATAAAGATGTTGTGTCCACCAAAAAACTAAAAAATAAATATTAAAAAACTTCTCTCTCTTAAAAAAAATTAAAATAGAGCCTTTCAGACTTTTACATTATGACTTAAATATATGGTAGGTCTGTACAGTGGAACTGTCAGGTGTAAAGTCTGATAGATACTGCAGAGCTGTCCATACCCCTTGGTATGGACACTGAAATCAAAGGTTCAGAGGTGCTGGGATTGTGGCTCAGCGGTAGAGCGCTTGCCTAGCATGGGCGGGACCTGGGTTCGATCCTGAGTACCACATAAAAATAAAGGCATTGTAGTGTGTCCATCTACACCTAAAAATTAATATTAAAAAAAAAGGTTCAGGTATCCAGCTATATATCCTTGATGACTACCAGACTTAATCCCAACATCATCATGTGTATGTCCTCCTTAGGAATTTTTTAAAAAATATTTTAGTTGTAGTTGGACACAATACCGCTATCTTATTTTTATGTGATGCTGAGGATCGAACCCAGGACTTTGCTCATGCTAGATGAGCACTCAACCACTGAGCCACAACTCCAGCCCCTCTCCTTAGGATTTTGTAAGAAGAAATTTTCTAATATATTTGAGAGTCAACTGTTGAAAAACTGGTCTCTGAACAAAGAGTGTAAAAATCTCTACAGTTAGATAAGACTGATCAGAAAAATACATTAATTTAGGTGTCCGCCACGCGACCAGTGCTGGCTTCAAGAAAGAAGGTTTGATTCATGAGTAAATGCTAGGGAGTTTTAAATTAAAGAGACAAGACTCTTATTACCTTTAATACCACTCCAGGACAGCTTCTCCTAGCTCCCGCCTCCAGCCACCTAATGCGGTGGCGAGGTTTACAGAAGAGGCTATCGAAAGAGGGAGAACACGCCAAGGAGTGGGCTTTTATTGGGGAACAAAAAATTCAAGGGAAAATCCCATCCAATGAAGGTTAAGGGGGGCAGCATCCCAAGGTCAGGGGCGACAATTGGGTCTTCAGGGCAGTGGCCAGGCACACCTCTACACGGACAAGCCCTTGGACGTGGAAAAGGGTGGGGAAAGCTCTAACACAGCTGTGTCTAAGGACCTCTCACCCAGCCAAAGAGGTAACTCAAATCACGTGCGAGGATGGCCTCCCACATATTCCCCCTTTTTTCTTTTAAAAAGCAGGCAATGATTTACTCTCTCGAGCCTTTGCACTCTCGCTCTGAAGACTCGCCATCCTATAATTACAACACACACAAAAAATTAACAGCAAAGAGAACAATCCAATAATGTACCAGGCCGAGTGTTTAAGAATATTTCCAGGGTTAAATCCATTTAATTTCTTCAATATTTGATTAGCCAAAGAAGAAGGATCCAAAAAATCAGCTCTATTATTTTGAATATCTTGGATATGATGATGGAGTTCCAAAAGATTCAAGCTATTATTATTATTTTGCCAAATACCCAACAAATGGTTCTTAACC